TTAGGTCATATGTAACTCTGTATTTAACTTTTTGAGAAATTACCAAATTGTTTTCCAAAGTAACTGTACCATTTTACTTCCCACTAGCAATATGTAAGAGTTCCAATTACTCCACATCCTTATCACCATTTGTTATTATCTTTTTGATTATAGCCATCATAGTGGGTGTGAAGTGATACCTCATTGTGGCCTGGATTTGCATTTCCCTAATGACTAATAATGTGGAGCATCTTTTCATGTGCTTATTGACCATCTGTATATCTTCTTTGAAAAAGGTCTACTCAGATCCTTTTCCCATTTGAGACTGGGTTGTCTTTTTTGGGGGGAGGGAGGAATTAGTTTTATTTATTTATTTGTTTGTTTGTTTATTCACTTAATGGAGGTACTGGGGATTGAACCCAGGACCTCATGCATACTAAACACACACTCTACCACTGAGCTATATCCTACCCCCGAGACTGGGTTGTCTTTTTATTGTTGAGTTATAATAGCTCTTTGTGTATTCTGGAATTAGACCCTTATCAGATATGTAATTTGTAAATATTTTCTCCTATTTTGTGGGCTGACTTTTCACTCTCTTGATAGTGTCCTTTGAAGCATAACTTACCTATTTTTCTTTGTTGCTTATGTTTTAAGAAATCTTTTTTAAAAGTCCCATTTTTTAAACAGTCCTATTGAGGTATAACTGACATATAATAAACTTTACGTATTTAAATTGTACAATTTTGTAAGCTTTGACACACACATCTGTCATGAAAACAGCCCCACATCAAGATAACGAGCATAACTATAACATCCAAAGTTTCTTTGTGCCCCTCTGTCGTCCCTTTCTCTTGTCCCATCTTGTACCACACTCCCTCAATCCTCAGGCAGCTCTCACTTGCCTTCTGTCACTGCAAGTTAGTTTGCATTTCCCAGAATTTTATCTAAATGAAATTGTACAGTATATACTCTTTTGTTCTGGCTTCTTCTTTGTGTGTGTGTGTGTGTGGGGGGAAGGTAATTAGGTTTATTTATCTATTTATAATTCTTTAATGGAGGTTCTAGGGATTGAACCCAGGATTTTGTGCATGCTAAGCATACACCACCACTGAACTATACTCTCCCCCTGAATTCTGGCTTCTTTTATACAGCATAATTATTTGAGATTCATCCAGGTTGTGGGTTCACTCCTTTCTGTTGCTGAGTAGTATTCCATTTTTGTTTATCCACTCACCTGTTGATGGACATTTAAATTGTTTCAAGTTTTCGGCTATCACAGACAACAGTGCTATGAACATTTCAGCCCAAGTTTGTGCGGCTGTATGACTTCATTTGTCTTGATTATTCAGAAAATATCTTACTAGTAAATATTTGAATAATAACAGTTTCATTTCTTGAGCATCTCCTGTGGTACCAGGATCTGTGCCAAATGCTTATTTAACATAACAACTATGCAAGTTTAGTACAACTGTCCTTACTTTACAAAGGGAAAAACCAGTTTAGAAATGCTGAGAAACAGGCTCAGGTCTTAGACCTGGGATGTTTCTGACTTGGGATTTGGAATTCAGGTCTAGCTGCATGAAAGCTCTTCTCCTTCCCCACAGAACACATATACTATCTCCCTTGACTTCTGAAATCTAAGACTCATTGAATCTTAGAGCCACAGAGTACTTAAACTTAAAACACAATTATCAATGACAATTTTAAAACACACAAAAGACATAAAGACTAATAAAAACAAGTATGGTCTATAAGCCACAGATAGTGAGAAGTAAAACATGCCAACACAGTTAAATCGCCCCTGGGTACCCTTTCCCAGTCCCTCCTCCTTCCCTCCCCATAGAGACCCCCACTCTCATGAATGTGAGCGACACAATTTGAGCATCAGGAAGCAGAAAGGTAGAGAGGTTAACATCAAGAGCCCAATTCCTGCAACATGTGATCCTGGGCAAGCACACAACCTCTCAAAGCCTCAGTGTCCCTGTCTGTAAATGGAGATAATAAAACAGTCCTCAAAGGGTCACTGTAAAGATGAAATGAAACAAAGCATGTAAAATGATTAGTACAATGCCTGGTACAAGGGAGGGCTTGGTAAGTGGTGGCAAATAATAGTACCAGAGCCTTAGAAGCATGGACTTAGGTTCAAAAAATGCTTGAGTTAGAAGAGAGGAGAGGGAACACTGAATGCAATTTTCCTCCCCCATTTTTTAGATGACATAACTGAGGCCAGAGAGGAGAGGAATTTGTCTAAGTTCACAAAGAAGTGATACGTATGTTCTATATAACTGAAGAATTGTGCTGTACACCAGCAATTGACACAACATTGTAAACCAACTATACTTCAATAAAAATAATAATAAAAAAAAGGAGCAGCCCCTTTCTGTGCCCACTCATCTATGGGTGAGAGGAGAGACAAACAAAGCATTTTCAGCATTTTTTGCTTCAAAGTGATTTCCTGTCTAGGGATTGAACGTTTGCCTGTTTCTTGGAACATCCAAAGAGCCTTATGAACCCAAAGGTCTGCCCAGAAACAAGTGATGAGGGCCCTGGGCAGCCAATGGAAGCATGCTGGCCTTTCCACCTGCCTGGGGAGTTCCCCCTCCCTATCCTGCCCCATAAAGGCAGCTTTGCCCGAGTTGGGGGTATTTCCAGCTTTGTGGCTTTCACTTCCACTTCTACCAGGTGGGCGGAGTGGCCTCCTGTGGACAAATCAGAATCCTCCTCAGCCTCAACTTCAAGAAGTGAGCCAGAGACTCAGGGTCCCAGACACACAGGCAGCAGCAGCAGCAGCAGCAGCAGGAGGCGTGGGGAAGACCAGAAGCCAGAACCATGGAAGACCAGCGCGACCTCATCTCTAACCACGAGCAGCTGCCCATACTGGGCCAGCGCCCTGCAGCCCCAGAGAGGTACGTGTGAACAGGAGAGGTGCTGTGGAAGGAGGTGCAGATTTGGACTCTGACTCCAACACTAACTGGGCAATTTTGAGCAAGTCTCTCGCCTACCCTGGGCTTTGGTTCTACCTCTTGTGAAATGAGGGGGCGCCTCTAGGGCAGGGATTTTAACTTTCTTTGCATCGTGTGCTTCCCTTCTGAAAATCAGGAGAGCGCTCTGGACTCTTTCCTTTGAGTTTCACACAATATCCAGGTGTTCACAGGGCCCCTGAGGCTGGGCCATGAACCCTAGGTTAGAAATTTTGGACAAGATTTTGAAAATATTATGGATTCTAGGTGGAGCAGCAGAGTTTCTAAAAGAGAATGGTAGAAGCAGCTCATCACAGGAGTTTCCTCCTAACTACCATGGATGGGTATACATGCTTGTATCAAGGGGATTATAATTGCAGGTGCCTTGTAAAGTAGATGGAAATGTCTGTTATCACAGGAGCGATTGAGAGATGTTGGAGTCGGGGTCGAGAAAGGGCAAGGGGGGCTCTGGCTACATTTGTGCCCCTCTTCCTTGAAGCGAAGGACCAGCAAGCCATCCTGAGGACCTTTCCCCAGTCCCAGTATGGCCTCCTCCATGCGGTTCCCTGGGGAAAAGGGGGGGCTGGTTAGACTGTAGCTACCCCAATGTCCCCGATCCCCCCAATCTCCAAAATAATTTGTAAATTACAGGGACTTAACAGGTATGATGTCAGCTGTTGACAGGCAGAAAGGGGTTTGGGAGAGACACTCAGAGATGTTATGAGGAACCGCATTCTGGAGGACAGGTCACTAGGTAGAGACCATTAGAGCCTGGTCTGTGAAAATCCTGGGAATCCCATGGCTAGGAGGGCTCTCTTGTGAGGTCTGGATTCTCATCTAGGTTTTGCTACTGTCACATGTGACTTGTATAAATCACTGTTTCTCTCTGGTTCTCAGTAATAATAGTAATAATAAAAACGATGATAGTAGTTATAATAGTTCTTATTTGCTGTATACCCGTCACCAGTCCTTAGTCACTGTTAGTAATTACTGTGGTTAGTTATGTGCCAGACACATAACTAAATGCTAAACTCAATCCTAATACTCACAGTAACCCTAAGAGTCAGGCCCTTTAATATCCCCATTTTTATATAAGAGAAAATTGAGACTCATATAATTAGTGATTTACCTAAGTTATCACAACTAAATACTGGAGTCAGAATCTGAACCCAGGACCAGCCTGATTTCAAAGTTTGAGTTCATTCTACCACGTGAGACTCTTCTAGAGGCACTGTTTGCAGGGAGGAGAGGTGGTCCCCTCTGAGCTCAGCCCACCCAGTGAGTTGCAGACCCAGCATGGGCTTAGAGAACAGAAAGGGTGCCCCCTAGTCAAATCCTTGCCTAGTTTTTCTCTTAGTTCAATTACTGCTTCTAAAACCGGCGGGGCCTGTTTTCGGACCCTTTCATGAACACTTCTGCCTGGCAACATTCGTGTCATGATTCCTGCTAGTTCTGGTTGGCTCCTGATTTTGGCCAATTGTTACGCAAGTAGGAGGCAGCTGAAAGGAGGAAGTGAAGAGAGGGGTGACAAAGAGTTGGCACTCATCCAGAACCAGGGACAGGCAGATCAAGATGCATAAAGAGGAAGGAAACCAGATGCTAGAGTTAACTATTAACTCTCTTGAGACTAGAGCTCAGGGTTACTTATAGTGCTAACTGTGTGCTAGGTATGGAGCCAAGAGTTTTACCCTGTGATCTTATTTTACATAACAACCTTTTGAGTAGATGTTCTTACCTCAAGTTTCTCACTCAGAGAGGTTAAGTGACTTGCTTCTGGTCCCCAGGCTAAGGGAGTGGCAGAATCAGGATTCCAGTGGTCTCATCTTTAGTATGACTCTAGATCCTCAGGCCTTATGAGAAATGGGTTCAGAGAAGGGATGGTGGGAGGCAGAGCTGGGACTGGAGTGGGTGTGAGGTTGCAGAAGGGGAGAGAATGTAGAGCTTGAGCCCAGGCAAGACCCAGGCCTGGGTGGACATCTCACCACCTTTAGAGGCCAGGCCACCCCTGTTCCTTGGGACGGCCAAGAAATAGGATTTGTTTTTCCCCCCTGTCTGGTCTCCTCTTTTTCCCCACACGGGGCTTCTGCTTTCTTTTTTCAGAATAATTATCCCGTGGTCTGAGCCTTGACCCATAAATCACAGAGGGCTTGCAAGCAGAGAGCCAATGAGAATGAGCCATGTCTGTGGTGTCATGAGTTACTAGGCAGAAAGTTCTCCCCAGTGTTCCCTAAACTCTTTGCTGGTTGCTGGAGTAAGCAGGGTACAGTCTCTTCCTCAATTTCCAGTGGGGTCCCAACAGTTCTACCCCTGGGGTAGGTGGGAAGAACAGGTCAGGAACTCTCAGGGCCCTGGGACAGGATCCTTACATCCCCCATACTGTAACATGTACCTGTGCCCTCAAAACCGTATTGGAGGCCAACAGCTGCAAGGCTCCCTGAGGTCGGGCCACCCCTCCTTGTGCAGACAGCCAGTCTAGAGAGCAAGAGAAATTCTCCAGGTCATACAGGCTCAGACACCCTGCTCCTGGTGATACCCCTCCTGGGTGGATATTCCTCGTGAGTGGACGTTACCATTCAGAACACTTCTGTGGTCACATTCAGATCTTACTGCAAAGACCACCAAATTCTATTATTGCTGAGGTGAGAGGTACCCATGTAACAGGCCCAGAGAATGGCACGAGGCTTGATCAGAGGCACAGGGAGAGTCTGGGACAGAGGATGTGCTCCCAGAGAGGATGGTGCCTGGCCCTGCTCCAGCCTGGCATTGTCAGAGGCCCCGAGCCCACTCCTAAAATGGCAAGGCCTCACTTCTCTTTTTCAGGTGTGCTGCAGGCTCCGCCATCCAGGTCCTAGTTGCTTTCTTTTCCTGATTTCACTGCAGGGGTTGGGTGGGCAGCATGGGTGAAAACCCCCTTCCCCTAGAGAGCAGCCCTGATCCTCAGGAGACACCCTGGCAGAGGGAACCTGGGGAGACCTTCCATCTCAACCCCTCAATGCACAGGAGGGACTGAGGCCCCAAACGGACAGGGCACTTGTCCCTGGCTCTTCTCTAGGCAGCCTAGGCCCAGGGGCGGCTCCAGGATTTCTACCTGGGAGAGCTGTAGGAGCAGGAATGGTGGGACGTACGGGGCTGGGAGAATGTCTCCAAGCTGCATGTTCATAGGCACTTGTGTGTTTGTTAGGAGTAGATGAGGGCAGGGGCTGGAAATGGGGCATGCATTCCCCGACTCCCACCTAGTCCTTGAGGCAGCCACCCCCCTGGACTCTCCTCTGACCTATCTCCTCCCATCCCCTAACAGCAAGTGCAGCCGCGGAGCCCTGTACACAGGCTTTTCTGTCCTGATGGCTCTTCTCCTGGCTGGGCAGGCCACCACTGCCTACTTCCTGTACCAGCAGCAGGGCCGGCTGGACAAGTTGACTGTCACCTCACAGAACCTGCAGCTGGAGAACCTGCGCATGAAGCTTCCCAAACGTGCGTGTCCCCTGTCTGTCCTGACATCCCCCACCCTCACATCCCTTACCTCAGAGACCCCCATTCCTGCACCCACCTGGGCCCACTGTCCTCTCCTTCTGGTCTGGAATTCCAGGCCCTCATTTGGGTCTGAGATCTTGGTCCCCAGATCTGAATACCCTCTTCCCCAGGCACTGGGGCCACACTCATGCTGTATCTCCTGCCCCTATAGCTGCCAAGCCTTTGAGCCAGATGCGGATGGCCACCCCCATGCTGATGCAGGCTCTGCCCATGCAAGGCCCACAGGTAAGGATAACCAAAGGGCGGTAGAGGGGAGGAGTTATCCAGCTTGGATGGCGGGCAGATACCAAGGAATAGGGGAGGACTGCCGGCCCAGGGAAAGCCCAGCTGGGGAGGGGGGTCTCTGACTGCTAGGGGAGGACTGGGCCTACCTTAGGAAGAGGAATTCCAGGGGCAGGGGAAGAGCCTCTTGGGGCCATCCCTGGGAGGGCCCAGCCTGCCACAATTTACGAAGTGCTTCTTCTTTCCCAGAGCATCTCACAGTCCCTCCTATTCTCAAAGCCCTTGATAAAATATATGGATAATGTTTCTGTCCACAAAGCCATGGGCAGGAAAGCTTATGCAGATTTGACCAATAGGACATTGAGGCAGGAAGGTAGTGACTTGCTCGAGCTCTCACACTTGGAAGTGTCAGAGATGGGCCTGTTGAACATCTGGAACTCGAGACTCTCACCCAGATCCCAGCTGCCAGCTCTGCTCCAGGACCCCTCTCTCCATGGGCCAGTGCTGGTAACCTAACACTCTCCATTTTTTCCCTCCACAGCTCATGCAGAATGCCACCAAGTATGGCAACATGACACAGGACCACGTGATGCACCTGCTCCTGGTGAGTGAGGTGATGCACCCCCAAGCCCCAGGCCCCTGCTGAGGCTGCACTCCAAGGTCTACACCACGCCAGGCTCACAGCAGACATTTAATACGGGCTCACCAGATTAGCGAAGGAATGCCAAGTGTGGCCCTTAAACGTTACATGAAGTTCAGCCCCGCTACTACCCGCGTTTTTGAGTGTTTGTGGTGGAGAAACCAAGGTGCAAAGCTCATTTTTTCCTTCCAAAATTTTTACTGCCTATCTACCCTGTGCCAGACACCATGCAAGGCTCAGGGACTACAACAGGGAGCAGTCAGATCCAGCTCCCAATCCTGTGGAGATCCTAGGCTAGCACGGGAGACAGACAAGTGACCAAGTGATGAGGGATGTGCAGGGGCCTTTGTGAAGACAGGCCGAGGACCTGAGCTAGCTGGGGGTTGGAAGGAAGTCCTCCTGGAAGAGATGAGACCTGAAAGATCTCATCTACGTGCCTGAAGACTAGGGAGCTTAGGTGTTGACAACCAGGGGTTATTGGTAGAATTGGGCCTGGAACTGGTTCTCATGACTCCCAGCGCTGGGGTCTTGGAGCCGTGCAGCCAGATTACCTGTACCACTACCTGCCACCCTCACCAGCTCCAATATGCTGAGGTGTAGGCTGCAAGCTTAGCACAGCTTGGGTCCACCTCTCGGAATGGAAGACCAGGAAATTCTTTTTAACCTCCCTTCTTGCCTTGCTACCCTGCAGAAGGCTGACCCCCTGAAGGTGTACCCGCAGCTGAAGGGGAGCCTCCCAGAGAACCTGAAACACCTTAAGAGCACCATGGACGGCATGAACTGGAAGGTCAGCAGGCTTCCGTGTACTGGTCCCCTCTTTTTCCTGATGTCTAGAGCAGGCCTGGGAAGAGGCGGGGTGACCAGGGAAGCCATTCCGCAAGTTGGAGACAGCTTACCAGCACCTCGAAAGCCACAAACATGAAAGTGTGCTTGGAGTTTAGAAACCACCTCAACCAAGCCATGTGGGTCATTAAGCTGGCCCTCCATGCTTCTGTCCTCAGGGGCAAAGTCAGGTGGTGTTGGAAAGGGCAGTTGAGCCTGACCCTCTGCCTCTATCCCCATTAGCTCTTTGAGAACTGGATGCATTATTGGCTCTTGTTTGAAATGAGCAAGAACTCACAGGAGGAGCAGCCCTTTGAAGTTCCAACAAAAGGTACATGGAATGGGGGCTTTGGGGAGGCAGGGTTTCTGGGCGCTCCCTCAAGCTCCCCTGGAGCTGCAAAGGGTAGGGCTTTGAGCACTCCCCAATCCAAGCACAGGACTCTCCCAGCCTCCCTCTGCGCTTACTCGTCTCTCCTGCCTGTTTTTCTGGGCGTGGCTGCCCCCAGCCCCCATCCTCCATTCTGTCTGTACAGAGTCCTCCCTTCAGAAGGTAACCTCCCTTGTGGAGGATGGTACTGTGCAAGGGGACCTGAAGCAAAACCCACCCAAAACATCCCAAGAGTCATGGCAATGACCTTCCCCATCCAGCACTGCACCCCTGTGGGTTCCCGGGAGGGGGCTGGGCCCATGATTCCCACCTTTTAGAGGGCTCCTCTCTGAGGCCATACAGCCAGCAGGTACCAGACCAGAGAGCCTTGGGGTTCTTCCATATCATGGGCAACACCAGGACTTTCAGCCCTAAAGCCTTAAAGGGGCTGTGTTCTTATCCTGGTGCTAATTTGCTGTGCAACTTTGAGCAAGTCTCTTCTCTCTGGGCTGTTTCAGAAGTGGAAGATCAATGGCCCACTCCACTCTGGGCCTCAGTGTCTCCATCGTAAATTCAGAGAGGGCACCGTAGATGCTCTCTTGACCAACTCCCAGCTAATGTCTGAATCCCCTCTACAACACCTCCCTCACATGGTAACCCCCACTTCTACTTAGATATGCCCCCAGTAATGGAAGCTCAGACTTACCAAGGTGTCCACTGCTTTTCTCTAGAAATCAGAATCTTAGGTGCAATTCTGAACCCCAACAGGCATTGAATGTCAGAAGAAATCATGTTCTGGGATGAATTAACCACATAGCCTCTTTGATCCAGGACCTTACCGGTCCAGGCCCGTTTCCCCATCCGTGCAATGGGTAGAAGTACAGCCACTTGGGCAGGAGGCATTAGACTACAGCAGTGGCATGTGGATCTCTGGTTCGGCTGAGACTCTGGCCCAGAGCCCACTGACTCACTATGTTCATCGTGCCTGTCGCTTCAGTACTGACCAAGTGCCAGGAAGAGGTCAGCCGCATCCCCGCCATCCACCCGGGCACGTTCAGGCCCAAGTGCGACGAGAACGGCAACTATATGCCGCTCCAGTGCTATGGGAGCATCGGCTACTGCTGGTGCGTCTTCCCCAACGGCACCGAGGTCCCCCACACCAGGAGCCGCGGGCACCATAACTGCAGTGGTAAGCAGTGGCCACTGCGCCAGGAGCAGGAAGGACCAGGAAGGCTGAGGGGCAGGAGGTCCCTCCTGGCACGCACGGGGCCAGGATACTCAAGGCGGCAGGCAACTCCTGGGGAACAGCCACTCAGCCATGCATCCACCCACTTGTGCATTTCTCATCTGTTTGTGCATCTATTATTTTTCTCCTTATGTCCACACTTAACCTACTTACTCATTGATCCTTCAGTCATTCCTTTTGTGACTTTTACCCATCCACGCATGCATCCAGGAGTCCTCCAGATCCAACCATCTGATTTCATCACCCTTCCTTGGCCTGGCTTACTCGATTGCCCGGCCATACTTCATTGGCACTTGCTGTTATCCAACAAGCATCCTTCCATCCGCAATGGCTCTACCAGGTGCCAGGCCTGTGGCGAGGCTGGGAAGAATTAGCCCCTCCCAGGCCCCTCACCAATGGGTGCTGTGGGCTGGACTCTAGCTAACAAGTAGCCTTTCTGCTCCTTTGCAGACCCACTGGAAATGGAGGATCTGTCCGTCTGGGCTGGGCGTGACCAAGCCAGATCTGGGCCAAGGTAAGGGCCCCTGTAGGGAATCCGGTCCCCAGCAGGTTATCCCCAGAGGGACCACCTCTCTCATGGTGGATGACTCCAGGCCATTCTCCAACGTCCATTTTGCAGATGAGGCCCAGGGTTGGGGGTTTTAGGGGCTATGGTGGTCAATACTTGTACCAAAGCAGGGGGCAGTGGAGGGTGAAGAGTCCTCGACTGCTCTGCGGCTGCAGGATGCGGGAAGGGACAGGGACCTCAGGTGACTCCGACCCTAACCTGCTGCTTCTTTCTCTGTAGTCATCCTGTGAGAACAGCAGACGCAGACGCCAGCACCCAGCCAGCCCTGCATGGCCACGGCTTCCCTGCTCCCCTGCTCCACAACCCTAGCCGCTCTCTCCTTCCCTTACCCACCCCTCCCCACACTGTCTCCCACTCTGCGCCTCATTCCAGGGGACTCTGGCACCTGGTTCTCCATCATCCTTGGACACAACAAATCATATCAGAACAGCCTAGACTAATGATGTGGCAGGGCCCTGCTGCCCAAAGCCCCCCACACTAGCAGGGACAGAAGGCCTAGGGAGGTGGAGCATGAACTAGGCTGACACCCATTTCTGACATCACAGTAGCCTCTAACATGAAGCTCCAGGATCCAGGCCCGTGGACGAGGTGGGCAGGTGCAGGGAGAAGAGACAACAGTATCCCAAGCCCCAGAACGGACACTCCTGCCATCCTCCCCGCCCCGGCCTCGGCTTTCCAGCCTGTTTAAGAGGAGGATGAGCCACCCTTCCCCTCTCCCCACCACCCCCCAGGAAGAACCACCTCCCCACCCACAGCCCCTCCTCACTTTCTGCCAACCCCTAGTTCCTGCTGCGCAGCCAAGCTTGTCATCAGCCCTCAGGGCCACAGCTGTGAAAATAAAGGTAGTAAGTAGAACGCTTGCAGCTCTCGGCTGTTCTGTTAGGTCTGGTTCGGTTACCCCAAGGGGGTTAATTGGAGACCGTGAACCCTGTGGTCTAGGTGGGAGGATGCAGTCCAGGGAGCCCAAACACATGCCCGTGGGACCAGGCCAGGCTGGGGTGCTGCAGTCATTGGACACAGACACACTTGGCTTCCACGTGTAACACACAGGAACATCCTTTACTTCCAAAAAGAAACAGGCTCCTGCCCATAGCTCTTTAAGCACAAGCCTCTGTGGGTCCAACTTCCATTTTCTCACGTCCCCATTTTCATTTCTATACTAAGAATGGTACAAGTGTGATGACAGATGGCGACAACACGGGGCCCCCATGTCGGGACCACCAGGGAGTGGGGGCTGTGGAACTGGGGGCCTCTGTCCTACTTAAGGGGTGGCTGCAGAGCCCCAGCCGGTTGTTGCCAGGAGGAGCAGAGGCCCCTGTTGTCAGACTTCTGGACTTTTCAAGAGGAGCTCCAAATCAGGAAGTTCGGTGAAACCCCTCCATCTCTAAGTTTAAAGACACTGCTCTGCTGCCTCTGCTCTAGACCAACACATTTATGGGGAGAGAGGCTACCCGAGATGGGCTTTGCCCAAGGGCCCCAAGGATGCAGCCAGATGCCACCCTGGCTCTCCAGACATCCACAGCCCAGTGCTGTTTCTGCATAACCTCCCACTATCTCTAGGGGGAGGCTAAAAGTCTCGGAGAGATGTCTCCACGACCTCAGGCGCTCCGCACTGCTCTGGGCCCAGAGAAGTGGGCCTCCGCACCGCCCACCGTCACTATGCCCTGTGGACAACACCCTGCCACATCTTTTGAGTTCCTCCACTTGCCTTCATCGCTGCAGAACCTTTGTTGCCTACACATGAGGACAACTCATTTCTAACTGACCTTTCTGCTCCTACTGTGCCTGCCAGCTATTCTTCACTAGTTACCTCGAGAGAGCCTGCCCGCTAGCAGCTCATCCTAACTTCAAAAGGTGACTTGGAAGGCCCTCCTTCTCTCTCTTGCTTCTGGGTACCTGCCTGTCCTACCCCAGCATCTGGAAACCAACCACGACCATGCCTGAGCTCCCCCTTAGCTTAGATACCACCTCCTTCAGGCAGCCTCCTCCACCCCAATGCACACCAGGGCACTTCTAGTCTCCTCTGGCAACCTGCGTCTCACTCACCACAGTATCCCAGAGCCCTGATACGCAGTCAAGAATAAATCCTGAGCGATGGTCTGTTCACTTCCAAGTGTCAGACTCTCCCAAGAATAAATGCAAAACATTTGCCCTGGATGCACTGGGAACTTGCACCTTTCCTTCAAGTCTTTTATTTTTTGAGTTCTTACCAAAAAACCCACAAACAAAATGAGGAAAAGACTAACAAAAGGAGGACAAAGCCTCAGCATGAGCTGGAGACCAGGGGTGTGGGAGGAATTGCAGGCTGAACCTCGTCGGGTCTGCAGGGCAGAGGTGGGAAGTCCCGAGGCCCCTGGGCATGTTGGGTCTGAGAAGGGAGGGGCAGGTCACTTAAAAAAATATATATATACTGTACATGTCCATACGTAGCATCCTGTGTCGGAACAGAAATCAGCCTGGGGTCACTGAGTGGAGGTCACGGGAGCTCTGCACAGCTCACTGGCTTGGCCAGCATGGACACCACAGCAGGCCATCTTCTGGGGAGGGAGGGGAAGTTAAAAAAAATTTCAATTCCAACCCACGGTGGGCAAAGGGCAGAGGCATGGAACTGATCACTACTTGGCTAAGAAATCTGGGCAAAGGAAACATGCTCAAATGTAAGATTTCCCGACTGTTTTCTCCATCTAGGAGAACAAAATAAAATCAAAATCTGGCATCTCCGATGCAGGGAAGGCACATTAACTAACCACAGTGGATCCTTGTTAGTGCTGACCATGTCCCAGGCAATGGGCTGAGTGCTTTAGATAGAATTTAACTTCAGTGAATCCTCACCACCAGCCCAGACCTGTATTACCCGCATTTATAGGCGGCTGGGTGGCTGCGGGGGCCTGCTCAGCCTGGCAGAGCACTCAACCCCTTTACCATCACCTGGGAGGCACAGAGCCATTAGAATGGCTTGTTTTGAGCAAACCATCTTTCTTCCCATGAAGAAATGCCCTCGAATAACAAAATCATAAGGAAAAGGAACTGACAGAGGTGAGGGAGTGACTGAGCCGTCCCTGCCCTCAAGCTTTATCCGCACGCACAAGAGGCACCACCTCAGTGCCCACCTCCCATGGTATGCTCAGGGTCAGTCATTGCTAGGACTGTTCTGGATCCTTCTGGGTCTGCAGCTCTGGTTCCTGGCATGACCCACTGACCTTGAGGAATGGAACCTCTTTCTCCACACCCCCTTCCCTTCAGGGCCCACCCACGAAGCCCTGTCTAGCTCCCTGGGACCACGGCAAAAGCTGCAGTTGCCCTCCTGCCCTCCCCGGGTAGTGAATGATCAGCAGGGATTCCAGACTCAGGAAGCGTACCTGCCGCCTGGTGTCCTTCAGACCGTCTGCTCTGCCGTCTTCTTCTGTGAGGAGAGAGGCGTGATGGGCTCTCGTACCTGAAGCATCTCCCCACCCTCACCGCCCCCACAAGCAGGGGACCTGATAGTTCCTCCTGAGGATTCGTGGCTCCCCTAGAACAGATACCGGGGATACAGGGACCCCCCAGGGCAGGGATGGTGCCCCATCTACCCTGGAGGAAGGAGCGCAGAACTCTCAGCAGCAGCTTTTATGACCAGAGCAGGGGCCCTGCTGGCCACAGTGAGAACTGCATTCGTGTGGAAGGTGCTGAGGGCGCCCTCTTCAGGTGATCAGGCCTTGACATGCAAGAAGCAGATGGGTGTTTCTGCGGTGGGGATACCCTGCCAACTGGGGCACACACACCCCAGGGGATGTTTCCTCTCACCTGGAAACCTGCAACGGCCTACCTGGCCTCCCTGCCCCCTGGAGGGGCTCCCCTTTCTTCACCCACCATAAGAATATCCTTCTACTTCACAGACGAGACGGGGCCACTTCCATGGCTCATGGCTCCTACACACACACAGACTTCGTGCCTCCTCAGGGTGGCCTCACCACCCTCAGCTCTTCCCCAGTGTCTCACAACACACAAGCCCCTAACTGGACCCCGAGAATGGAAAGGGCAGAGGGACCAAATCTGGCTCGCCCATCCCCTACCCTGCAGTGCACAGGCTGGGGCTGATCACACGCACCCTGGGGACTGGGTTTGGGTCCCTTTTCTGGCCGGAGACCCCTCAGGAATTCACTCTACCTTTTTCTTCTTTTTCTTCTGGAATGGTGAGGCAGGGTCTTTGGTTGAGGCCTTTTTAGCTTTCTTCTTCTTATCCTTTTTTTCCTTGTCTTTTTTTCCTAAGGGAAGAAAGGAAACTTGCTAAACAACAGATGTTAATCTTAAGTGCTGGGGTCAACGTGGAGAGACAGACAGGGCAGGTCTCCGGGGGCCCTGTCCATGGATTGACCACCTGGACTACAACCGTTTTTCTTTAACTCACTTTTTAAAACTTCCACACATTTATTTTAAAAAGACACTTTCTACCTGTAAAATGGGAATGAAATGTCACCTACTGTAGATGGCTGGTGTGAGAGTTAGACAAGGCCCTGTCGCACAGCGAGGTGAGGGAGGGGCGGCTGTTGGCGAGGAGCCGGGACCCCGGGGAGCCTGAGCTGCAGGTGTGCGTGGCTGTGGCGGCTGTGAGTGTGCGGGGGCGGGTGCGGGGGCGGGGCGGGGGGGAGCTCCAAGAGCGGAACACGCCCTGGAGCATGATCACCTCCCTGGCCGTAGTGGCCCTGGAGGTCCAGGGCTGGGTTCTGGCTTTGCCAGTCCTGCCCCCATGACCCTGACGACCACACGCAGCACCCCCTGCGCTGGCTGAGGGCCGCCCGCACGCCTGCCCGCGTGGTGACCGCAGCCCCCCCCACAGCCGGGGCAGTGTGCTCGGCTGGCCACTTACTCTTGTCGGATTTCTTCTTCTCCTTCTTGCTCTTCGGGTTGCCTTCGTCTCCACCCTCACCCTTCGCCGTCCCTGGCCCCCCTTTCGGCTTCTCCTTGGCCCCTTGGGAGCCGGGAGACTCCTTCTCTTTCTTCTCCTTGATGTTACCACTCACTCCGTCCCTCTTGGATTTCCCCTTGGGAGTCCTGGGGGCCTTTTCTGGGGAGGGAGCACACTCCCTGCCTTCCCCGGCCGCCAGCAGCTTCTTCTTCTTGCTCTTGGAGGCCTTGGCGGTCGTCTGGTCTTCTGACAGCTTCCGCTTGTGGCCCAGCCGGCCCTTCTGGCCGCCCTCCTTGGCAGCATCCACAGCCTTCTTCCTCTCCTGCTCCAGCAGCTCCGTCAGGACCTTCACCACCGAGGCCTGCACCTGCGTGTCGCTCAGGGGCCAGGGCTCGCTCAGGAGGCGCCGGGTGATGTCGCTCTGCAGAGCCAGAGTGGAGGCCTGAGGGCTCCCAGGTCCCTTCTGGGGCTTCTGAGGTGTGGTGCTAGCCTCTCTTCTGCCTACAGAGAGAGGACCTGGGGTCACAGATCTGGGAGAATCAGGTCACACACCTCTCGTGGTGTGAAAGCCAAGGGGGTCCAGCACAGAACTGACCTCCTTGGACACGGTACAGACGGGGAAAGGGGGGCCCCACTGGGTCGCGCCCACACCTCTTCACCAGCTTTTAACTGAGAGCTCTTTTCTTGCTCCTCATACCAAAAACTCAAATTTGGGTTGGGGATGGAAAATAACTCCAGAATGTTAATGAAAGGGCCTGAAATCTATCAATGAAATCTAAGGTCAGACAGGAGGAAGGTGGGTTTTAGGTCTGACAACCAAACTCCATTTCCCTGTTTGTAAAAGGAGGGATGAACAGTGATCTCCCCTTATTCTAAACCATAGGTTCATAATAAAGGTGAAGGTCATGCAGCCATTTAACTTGTGCCCGTCTGCACACAGTGAGCCTACAGCCGTTCATGGTCAGGGGTCCATGCGGCTTGGCCTGGGGGTGCTGGGTGCGGCATATTCGCACATGGTGGCTGACTAAGCAGGTTCACTGCCTGCCAGAGTGACTTCTGGTACAGCCTTTGTTTAGAATTTTCCACGCCTCTGCTCTCCTTTGATAATTGTGTGCTGACTACACGTGTGAAAAAACCCTTCCACAGCCCCCTCTAAAATGTCTCCCTGTCGCACCCGCCTCTCACAAAGGGAAGAAAGTGAGCAATGACTCCTCTGCCGACCCGGCACCAGGTAGGCTGAGGCTGAGAGCTCATGGGCTGGAGGGTGCAGGACATCCACATATGTCCCGATGCCGCCCCTGACTTCCAGATGACTGGCAGATCTCCTCTCCATCTGGGGCCTCAAGGGCACAAAAGCAACTACACACTGGGCTCTGGGAGGTGCTGGGTGGCTTGGTCCTGTTCAACATCAGGAGCCAGGGCTGGCCCTGCGGTGGGCCTGCAGCAGTGCATGCCCCAGAGCTCTGGTGGGCCAGGGGAGGTAGGCAGAGGGGGTCCCAGGACAGATGGAGGCCCAATTCAGTCCTGTGGGGCTTCTGGCAAGGACAGGAGTAGAGAAGGCTACACAAGGCTTGGCAAGGATGGTAGAGAAAGAGGCTGAGGAGGACACTGTACCTGGGAAAACTCTTTCCCTGCAGCCCACTTCTCTGCTTCCTGTCTACAAACACCCTAGAATACCAAGGCTGGGGAACCCCTAGAGCTGTCCCAGGTGTGCCCTGTGAGACACCTGTCCTTTAACGCTGGCAGAGTCAGAGGTGACTGATGCCCCAGGCTGGGTGACCTGAGCACTCCAGACTGCCCCCAAAATACCACGTGGCTATTTTGTTTCCATGTACAGATGATAACCACACATAGAAAACTGCCTGGATGCACCACCCCCGCCCCGCCCCATACGGTTAAGACACCGAGGCCCAGAGCGGCCAGGGGCTTCTTTGAGGCTTCGGAGCCAGTCAGTCCCTCGCCCAGGGTCTTCCTCATGTGCTGGAGACCTCTCCAAATGTGGCCCCGCCCTCCATCTGAGCTATCCTGAAGTCCCTACACCCCTCATCATGAGCCCACTTGTTAGGAAGAAAAGTCAACAGGGACAGCTACAGAGAGCCAAGGTCTAAGCTTTAAGTCAAGGTGCATGTCATCTAAGGCAGGGGTCCGTCACCCTGCCAGGTGCACCAGCATTCCACAGGAGCCAGACACCTGGGGTGGGCCCCCCGCAGTTTCATGAGCACCTCCAGGCCTGACATAGGGGTACCAGGCCTCACTCGGGGAGGCCCTGCTGGCAGACAGGATCCTGCTGGTGGGACTGCTCCTGAGGGAGGGACTGCCTTGTCACTCCATGTCTGGATGTGTCCTCGCTGCAGCCCTTGACTCACCTGTTTTAGGGGACATGGTGCCTGCTGCTTGGGGCTGCTCCACTTCCTGCTTGCCGTCCAAGGCATCTTTGGTGATCGAAGTAGAAGAAATGGAGGGGTTGGGATCTGGTTTGGAAGTGGCCTTTGAAGCCTTTGAAGCCTGGGAACTGGCTGGAGTCAGCCTGGGGGTCACATAACCTGAGAGGAGAGACTGAAGAAGCCCAGTGTGAAAGAGGCGGGGGCCCTGCCCCACCCAGCCCAGTGCATGGCCCGCTGAGGATAGCAGCCCAGGGACCCCTGAGATGGCCGGTCCCGCGGGTGATGGGCACATAAAGCTTCCATGTGTACCTCCTGCACTATTTTAATTAATACATATTTTAAACAGGCACATTTAAAAGGAAATTTCTTAGTACTAATGTGAATGAAAAAGCAGTAGCACTTGCCATGTATAGATGATAACCTTAAAAGAAATTCCATCTGTTCAAGAATGTTTTTATCTGGGAATCATCAAAATCAAGGCAAGCCCTTTCTATAGACTCCAGAGTCCACTACTCATGACTTTATGCTGAAATGGGACCTCAGGGGAGGAGGGCCCCTGGGAAGGGTCCAGACCCCCACCCCAGGGGATGGCTTCGGCCTAACGCTGCTTAGGCGGGCAGGAGCCTGGTCTGGCGCTCCTGCCCCAAGACCCCTTGGTTGCCAGCCCCTTCCCTTGCAGTTACCTGGGAAGGTTCCACCACCTCATCATCACTGGACTCTGCTGTGGTCTCTTCCACCAAGGTCTCCCTCTTGGAGGCGGCTGCACCTACCAGAGAAGCACAGGTGTCACGCTGGGAGTCCAGGTACCCTTGCCAGCCGGGTGGTGCAGAGCCCTTCATGAGGGCCCTGGGATGGCCTGGCCCCTCTGTCTGTGCATCACTCTCCTGCCCAAGGCTCCCTCT